GGGGGAAGGGAAATAGTGAGTTATTGTCTAATTAAACTGTCATACAGAGTTTCAGTTGCGAAAGGTGAGAAAGCTCTGGTGATGAACACTGGTGATAGTTACACAATGATGTGAATGCATTTAATGCCACAGAATTATATATGTAAAAATGGTTAAAATGATAAGTTTTGTTACATATATGTGTGTGTATATATATATATACACACACACAAGTAAAGAGTTGAAGAAACTCCAGTGATAGATCCTGTTAAAAGAACACAGGAGAGATACATGTATATACACACACACACATATGTTCCTGTGTTCCTTATGAGCTGGCTACTAGGGAACCCCTCCCCCCACACACACAGTCACAATTAAAAAAGAAAAAAAAAGAGTTAACTTACCCAAAAATCATATTTTGATTTCCAGCAAAAACTGCATCATGGATTCTTTGGAGCTGTTCGGATGCCACTCTCAGGTCTGGGGCATTTACTCCTTTAGAGGCTGGGGATGCTCTCAGGCTCTTGATCTTGAGAAATTGTCCTTGCTGAAGAAAGTTGCTTCTCGTCCTATTTCCAGGATGATCTAAATCCAGTGACTGGTCAATGAGAAAATATTACAACTAGTTTCACAGCTCCCAAGGGGTTGATTGAGGCCTTGTCATGTCAACACCACAGCCCACTTTCTCTCTTTCCAACCTGTCTGCATCCCTTCCTGCACAAGTTTTGATCTTGAAAGCACTCCTTAATGAACTTCCTGCATACATGCATGCAATAATAAGAAATAAAAAAGCTTCAGCCTTTCTTCTAGTGTTTACTTCCATGCACCTGAAATATGGTCACAACCTCTATATAAATAGATAATACCTTGAAGTTGTGCAGTGCACAGCCTGCGCATGAAGCAGTGGCTTTGTCACTTGGTTGATACTTGGTTAATACTTTGTCACTTGGTTGATACTTGTGTTGATTGACTCAAAGAACTTGATTTCTCGTTTCAGATCCCAATCTTCAGAAAGGTCCCAACATTTACTGTTTTTGTCTGGAACATTTTGAATCTGTGTTCTGGTAGGTTTCCTTTCCACTGCCACTGCTTTAGATTATTATTGGTCATCCTGTCCCAGCACTGTCACAGCTTCCTGGCTGGTTTTCTAGCTGTGAGTATCTTCATAGCCTGTTTTTTTGCTGGACTCAGGAGGCTTCCTCTCTACAGGACTCCTTTCTCTGCTTCATCCCTCTGTATGTTCACCCAGTGGATGCTCATTAATGTGGGGTGGACAGCTGGGGTTCCCTTCTGTGGAGAGAGGTGTGGGGACAACCACGACTTTGCCCCATTTCAGAGCAAAGTTTGGGGAGGGAGTGAAATGCAGAGGTCACAGATGCAGGCATTGACAAGTAGAGAGTTGAAGAAACTCCAGTGATGGATCCTGTTAAAAGAACACAGGAGAGACACATGGACTGTGAACTGGACTGACTGGGGGGCAGAATTCTAGGATGAGTCATTACAACAGAGATCACCAGCCATACTAGGGAGGGGAGGCCTGGCAAGAGAAAAAGAAATTCAGTCATGCTGAAGTGAGATAGGATTTCCTCCACACCTGCCTACTTTGGGAAGCTAAAAATAGTGACATTTGGGGAGAAAAATAGTGAGGCATCTTTTTATTCTACTGACACAGGCTACAAGGAGGGAGGTTTGCAAAGGGTGTGTCTCTTACTCTTGGTAAAATTAGAAACAGAAAAATTTCATTTTGGGTATCCCAGGCTTCACTTTTTTCCCTTTCCCCTCAGTCCTGTTCATTTCTTTCTAACCAAACCTCGTCTTAGGGATGTGTTGAGTACATTCATCCGCATCAGCTTAGAAGGTTTAAGGTGGCAATTTCACATGTTAGCAGACGCTTATGTTTGAAGCCAAAGATGCTTAAATACACAACTATTTTTAAAAGGAAAAACCTATACATTTCACATCAAACACTCAGCACAGGGCTAAATACTGTGGTTATTCAATAAATATTTACAGAAAGACATTCCCCACCCTCAAATCACTGAGGTAACAAACTGGAAACCGCCCATATCTGAGGGGAGGGGGTATGGAAGAACCATAGGCGTGCTGAAATACACTGCTGAGGGGAGCAGCAGGCAAGACAGGAGAGGTCTGTCCTGCCATGTGGGTATCTCCCCGACGGCAGGGATCGAACCGGCGCTGCAGAGGCCGCAGACAGCTTCACAGCGCTGCGCTCAACCGCCTGCGCCACCAGGGAGGCCTAGAAAACCTTTCTAACTGGCCTGGAGAAATGCTCACACGGGTATCCCTGCCTTTTTGGAAATTCAAGATACGTCACTTCAATTTCAGGAAAGAAATACACACGTTTGTACCTGTTTCCGCCAATGGAAAAAAAAATCCCAGCAGGCTTTAAGGAGGAACAAGGTGAACTGGTGCAAAGTGGCTGTGCACATCGGGGGCTTAGTGGGCGGAAGGCCCCAGGGTGGCGGAAGAACCCAGCCCAGGGAGGTGGAAGCACCAGAGGGTCGTGACCCCTACAAGCTCCTCAGGGTCGTGACCCCTACAAGCTCCTCCTGCCAGACTACTTTCCATACTCGACATCATATCATTCCTGCTTTTACTATCTGTTGCTGTTATTTAATGTTTCGTGGGTCATCTGCTATGATTTGGTAGGTGGTTTTTGGGTCTGGGAATGCTCAAAAATATTTGCCTATAAATGAATGGTAATTGTTTTTTTGCTTTATGCCATTTGGCTTAGGGTAGGCTTCTTCGGAGCCGTCTGCTATTAGATAGGGGCAGACCTGTAATGAAACATTAGGAAAAATAAACAGGCCTGGAAATGTAAATATACTATCTGTAGCGGCAGGATGACACAAGGCAGGTTTTCTATGACCCGAGCAGACAGGGTAAAGGAGGCATCCTGGAGCCCTCGGTGGCCTTTGCAGGCTTTTATTGGGATTTACCAGGTACACAGCAGGCAGGGGTGCAGGGGGGCTGGGAGGCCTGCCAGCAAGTCTTCACTCTGTCTGGGCTCTCTGGCCTTCTCTGCTCCTCGTGGTTCTCCTCTTCTGGCGTCCCGGTGACACCGCCCTTATGAGCCCAGTCTCTCAGCACAGGTGTATCCACTTACGCACGCCCATGCCCTACTCCAGGTGCCGGCCATCAGGAGACATGCATTCAGGACCGCAGTGATCCATCATCAATCCTAATGGCGGAAGGGCAGAAAAGCCTGATATCATTTACTTACCCTACACTATGTCAATCATAAAAATTATACACATAGACCCAGCACTAAGAAATCTGCAGTTTCCTCTGGAATCGGTGGGACTTAGGTTTTTATTGTTTTTTCTTTATTTTCCTATATTTTAAAATTGTTTAATATTGGTATGAGATAAATATGACAAAAGCGAACATTGTAAAAGATTGATTGGCCGCGGGGGGCGGGGAGGGGTGTACTTTTTAGAGGCCCCTGAAGTCACAGCATGTTGGGCTGGTGTAGCTGCTTGAGTTAGGGGATGGCAGGTCATGTGGCCATGGAGGGTGGGTAGTGGGTGGGTCAGCCCAGGATGGGTTTTCCAAGAGTGGTACAGCAGTAGAGACCTGACCTTTAAAGAAAAAGGGAGGACGTGGTAATGTTGGTGTTTAGCGTCAGTGCTCTGGATGGATGCAGTGGGCCTCTGTAGAGGAATTCGTGTGCTAGGCGAACAGCATCCAGAACACTGCGGGCTCTTGATTCTTCCTCACCTTTTGTTCTTTAGCTACTCAAGCCTTGCTCAGGTGCTGAGATATGTTTATTTCACCCTGCTCCCCTACTTTCTCTTGCTTAAAATGCAGCTGTCCTATTAATTGAAAGCCTTTGTGTTGGCTTCAGTGACATCCTACATTATCTTTAAGAATTGAGATGGTGTAGGGTAAAGAAAATGTCAGGCTTTTCTGCCCTCCCGCCATCAGGATAGATGATGGATCCTTGAGGTCCTGAATGCATGCCTGACGGCAGGCACCTGGAATAGGTTGTGGGCCTAGGTAGATGGGATTCACCTGGGCTAAGATTGGGCTTTTAAGGGCGGCATCACGGGGACGCCAGCAGAAGCCAAAAGAGAAGCCAAGAGAGAAGCAGGAGAAGCAGAAGAAGCAGAAGCCGAGAGAAGGCCAGAGAGCCCAGAGTGAAGACCTGCTGGGGGCCGGGAGGCTGGCAGGCCTGCCTGCCGTGTACCTGGTAATCCCAATAAAAGACCTGCAAAAAACCATTGAGGACTCTGACTCCTCCTTCACCTGGTCTGCGTGGGATCAGAAAACCTGCACTGTGTCTTCCAGACCCCTACAGATGGTATGCCCTTATAAGAAATATTATTTAACATTTTCTGCATAAAAGGCCTGGGGATCTCCAGAAAGCCACTACAGATTTCAGCATTTACAAACAAGAAAACATTTTCCTTCGGTTATTTCTGGAAATTCCTTCTAAACATCTGTTTTCTTCTAACTTAAGTTGCTTCCCACCTCCTTCCCTTGAGAGCTGTTGCCTCTGTGAGAGTAAACTTCATAGCCACTATAAAACAAACAAACAAACAAAACCAAAACAAAACCTGCAAGAGCAATCCCCATTCCTCTCCCAATGCCTAATCTCCTACACTTAAAAAAAAAAAAATCAAGTCCTAGGCTTTTTTTGGGTTTGAAGCACCTTAGCATCCAAATGGAGAGATTCAACAACTTTGCAAATCTACCCAGACCTAAAATTTTGTTTTTATTATTTCCTAATTATTAAAAAAATAGCCAGCCTCCTGATTAAGAAAGGCTGGCTGGCAGGAGGGGCTGCAGAGGCAGAGGGGAGCAGTGTGAAAAGATGAAATCTCTGCTCTGCCTGGAAGCCTGCGTGTGCACGAGCCCGACTCCTCCGGCGGCTCCAGGCCGCGTTTTGCAGGCGGCTGCATCTGCCTCCCCTGTCTCTCTTACCTCCTTGATGTTAGGCACTATTTGTGGCCGGCGTGGTGGAAGGACACAGTGAGGTTCTCACCCCCGCCCCCCGCCCCCCGCTCCCATCCCCAGTTCCATCAAAGCGCACCCAGGCCAGCGCAAGGATCTCCGAGTTGCAAGTGTGCTGAGGCTGGGACTGTCACTCATTCTGCGATCAGCGCGTGAACGCAGCTCGGCGGCCGCTGGCAGGAAACAATTCTGCAAAAATAATCATACTCAGCCAGGCAATTGTCTGCCCCTAGGTCTGCTGCTCTGCCGCCGTCCACACTCGCTGCAAGGGGGGGACACCAGAATTTACCGCGGCAAGAACATCCCTCCAGCCAGCAGATTACAATGCTGCAAACTAAGGATCTCATCTGGACTTTGTTTTTCCTGGGAACTGCAGGTACATTTAAAAAATTTCTCCTGAATCTGCTGTGCTATTTGCTCCCTCCCCCCTACTGCTCTTGGGGAGCACTTATTTGGGGGGGTGGCTGTGCATGGAAGGTGAAGGGGGGTGGTTTTCGTTGCGCTGAGGAAGGAGCGCATCGCCCTTGCTGCCCAGCCGAACCCCAAGCCCTCTCGGGCTGCGCCGGACCCGGGCTGCCTCCCCGCGCAGCCAGCGCCGTGCGCCCCTCCAGCGCGCGCGCCCTGCCCACTTTGTGTGCCCGCGGCGCTGGCAGCGGAGCCCACCGCGCCCCGGGACGCCGCGGCCGAGCCGGTGCTGGGCAGCGCTCCCTCCCCGAAGGCTGGCGGCGGGCAGCGGGGAGAAGGGGACCCCGACTCGGCGGTGCCGCCGCCCGGGCTCGGATTGCGCGGGGAAGGGGCTTGCCAGCCCCAGCTGCAAAGAGTGAACAATAAGGCCGGGGCAGCCGCCCTGGCTCGTGATATCCCCGGGTCTAATAAAGTGGGGCTCCCTGCTGTCGCGCCCCCACCCCACCCCCGCCCCGGATAACGGTTTGCAAAATGGGGGAGATGGGCAGCACCTCAGCGCCGTGTGCCCGAGGTGCACCCCTGTCCATATGACGTTCGTTTTTCCCGTGCCAAATTGCTGGCTAGTTGCACCGCCTGCTCGCGGCCCGAGCTCGGAGGCATGGGAGGGTCGAGCGCCGCGTTTTGACAGGAGGAAGCGCGGAGGGGCGGGGGCGAGGGGGGCGAGGAGGGCGTGATCCGCGCTGGCTGGTGTGTGCGCGCGGGTGTGCGCGCGTGTGCTTTCACACGCGCCGCGAGCCCGCGTTGCACGGGGCGGGTGGAGAAAGGCAGGTAGCCGCCCGAGACGGGCACGGTCCTCGCCCCAGCCTCCTTTCTTTGGGCGAGGTTCCTGCTCCTTGTAAAGTGCGAACAATGGAGATGCGGGGCGGACGGTGGTGATGCTGCTGCCGTGGCTGGCAGGGTCTGCGCCGCCGCCCAGAAAACCTGGGCAGTCCAGGCGAGGTGCCTTGCATTTGGGGTATTTCCAGCCCCGGCCTCCCAGGAAGAGTCCTCTTTGCGCGCCCACCCTCCCGCCCAGCTGCTCCACCCCACCCCACCCCACCCCACCCCACCCCAGGATTTGCGCTTTGGCGCTGATGGATGCGAAGGGGGAAGAAAAGCTGGGGCCGCAGAGCTGGGTGGGGTGGGCGGACATTCTGGGCAGGGGGCGTGTGCTGGAAGCTTTAGGGGTGCGGGGCGGAGGGGCTGCGCCGAGGTCGCCTCTGCCCGGTGCTGCTGGCGCTGCCCACGGCCGAGCCCGGGTGGGGGAGCGCGCAGGGCGGGCCGGGGAGCACCCAGCGCGCCCCCTCCCCGGGCGGCACGAGAGCAGCGCTCGGCTGCTGCCTCCAGCCAACTCAGTCCCTCCCATGGCGACCAATCAGAGGGAGGCTGGCTGGGCGGGAAGCCGCGAGAGGCTTTTATTGCGGCGCGGGTGGCGGCCGGGAGCTGCCAGGACCATCTCCCGGTGCTCCAGCCTAACGGTCTCGCGCGCACCCCACGGAGAGGAGAGGAACCCCGCCTCGCGCCCCCCCCCCCGCCCGCAGTTTCCGCGTAGATAACATGGAGTCTAGGGGCTCACCCCGAGGGGTCCTGGTTCGGCCCGCCCGGGTTTGCCCACGCGGGTCTTTTCCACCGCGCCCTGGAGCAGCCCCTGCGCGCCCTGCAGCGCGCACATTCGCGCCGCGTCCCCGGCGGGAGCGCGGAGCCTGGAGGGCACCGGGCTTGGCTCACCGGTGCGCGTGCGCTGACCGCTGGTCGGGGGCCAGGGGCGCAGCTGGGGGCGGGGCCCTGGCGGGAGCTCCGAGGCCAGGGTGGGGGGCCCACCCCGTTCCTTGTCGCCGTGGGCCCTGGCTTCCCGCCGCCGCCCAGTCGGGGCGGTCCCGGGCAGGCCTTTTTCCTTGGTGTGCGTGGGTCTCCACGGTACAACCTCCTGAAAAAGAAAGGGGGTGTTTCTGGGAGCTCCCCCTTTCTAGGGGGAAGCGTGACAATGGAGACCCGCTCTTTGGTGGGTGCTTGGGGAATCGCCTAGCCATCCTTAGCTTGGGTGTGCTGGGTGTAACCTGCAGTGTTTGAATCCCCTGGGAGTTGAGGTACACGCCCAGGGAAATCCCAGATTGGGATGTTTGTGGCAGCCCTAGCTGACCTGTGTTCCCTGGAAGGAAAGCGTTCTCATTCCTGGCCGGTGAGGGATGGAAGGTAGTCAGAATGAGAAGCCCATTCAAGGTTGCTTAACAAAAGAAATTGAATGGTTTTTCCAAGGAGAAATAATGTTGCATTATCGTTCCTATCATAGTTTTTTTTAAAAATTGAGGAATTCAAATCAGAGGGTCCGTATGAAAGTAAAAGCAGTATCATATGTGCATGTTCCATCTAACTGCTGTTCTGGGGCCTTAAATATGATATCATCTCCAGGGATAGTGGTAGTTCAAGCTCTGCTCCACTAGATGTGTACGAATATTTAGTTAGAAGGTGTGGTAGCCTTGAAGTACCAGAGGAATGAGGTCGCTGACCCCTGCTCATTTGTGGTGTCTTCTGCTTTTTAGGAATACAGTGAAACTGTGGAATTACTTAGTAAATTTAGGTGTATGCTAACAGCAGTTTTGGATATTTGATCTGGGATGGTTGTTAAATCATGTGTTCATTTGATAATGTTACAGTTCTCTGCCAGTTAACTTGCAAGAGGCAAGGAAAAGCTAGGTAGCACAAAGTAATATCTCTCACTAAATGAATTAAGATGTATTTCAGCAGGGTTTGCTGAATACATTTATGTGAGCTATAGTTTTCCTGTTTATTTTCATTTTAAGATCAAACGTGTCTTTCTGTACAAAATGTAACTGAATGAAATAAAGCTGTATTTAAGAATGTGGAAAACCTTTCAGGACTCTATGCCAAAATCAAGAAGTTAATTTTCTTTCAACAAATATTAGTGTATTTAAAATTAGGGAAAATAAGTTAGAATTTATTTAAATTCAACAGAGTTAAATACAAAGATAATAGGATACAGACATTGGGGAAGTGTGGTCTGTCATTTATTTATTAGTTTATGAGTTACTATTCACACTGCAAAGGTTCTAAAAATCTACCAATTGGGCTCAATTTTCATTCATCTAAAACTTACATTGTTTTTTAACTTCATTCTTCAAGAAGCTTCTGCTTTTTCCCCTCATTGAACTTAATAACTTCTTTCCTTTACTCAGGATCTGTTTTTTTAAAAGTTAAAATATTGTTATTATTATTAGACCAACAGAAAATAGCAGGACATATGCTTGTTCAAAAAAGAGGTTCATCCAACTCTGTGCTAATTTATTAAACTAAGGGTTTGCTGATTTAACTGGTGACTGTTTCTCCAGCTTGATAGTTTCAGTTTTAAGGTGATAATTGTTTGCCTGGGAAAATAAAAAAAAAAGTCATGTTGTGGGTGTGCTCTTGGCAATGCCTGTGGATGCTTATTCAAGGAGACAGTGAGAGGGAGAAATTAGTCATATGGAACCCCCCAATCCTAAAACTTTTGCATAGTGCCTCTCTTTGGAACACATTCATCATTAATTGACTTCTGCAGAAAGGTAATATGTAATTTAATGTAAGTAATCTATATCTATATTTTGTTGTCACAGAAAACATCTTAATTGCCCTGCAAAATAAATAGCACTATTGTCATTCAAAAGCTAATCTCCAGACATGACAGATGCTTTTGTTCGCTCCAGAACTCAGTTTCTTAAATTATAGACAGCATCTTGTAAACTTTACACTGCTTGAAATATGGACTTTGGGATTTCTGATCCAAGTACTTAATTTTTTAAGGCAACAGAGCCTCTATTTAAGATTAGTTTGATGAATTTCCCATATTTATGTCTTCAGTGTTAAAGAACTGGGGCAGCCCTCCAGATTGAAAGTGACTTCAATGCTACTGGCAGACCTCCAAAGATACTTTAGAAACAGCCCTTCCTGTCTTAGTGTAAAATAAGTGATTGACTACCTGTTGCTAAAGAACAGTTTCAACTTACCCTGGTGATCATGGGTTGGTGGTGATGGAGAGCAGAACCAATTGGCAGGGAGGAGGGAGAGGGATTCACACCTGCCTCTGTCAGTTTTCTGGGAACTGTCGCCTGGGAGGAGACAAAGACATTTTAAAAGAGCTCTCCTGTATTATTTAAGTATTGAATTCTTGAGCCCACAGATGTTTTATGGTGCCAAGATAAATTTTAATGTAAATTCCATAATTGATAATTCTTCAGTTAAATGATCTTTAGTATAAATGTCTAGGCTAAGGAACATCTGGAACGTTAGAAGAAATAGCAGCAAATTACAAATAGCCTTTTCTATTCTTTAAAATGAGTTACACAGTAAAATCAGAAATATCAACCAGCTAGCTACATAATAATGAGGGCTATTTGAGTTTCGAATTAAAAAAAAAACAAAAAACAAAGGTTAAGATTCCATTTGTTGAAAGGGAAGAAAAGTGAGCAAAATTCAGAAGAGAATTTTATATCTCTCTTAAAATGCCTAACTAGTCTCTGAGTAAACTTGTAAGAGAAGGCGGCAAATGCTCAAGGACCTCTAATAATCCTCAGGTCTCTGTGAAGTGCTGAGTTTTTAATATGAAAAAAAAAAAAAACAACTGTGTAGTGAAACTATTATCAGTAACACAGGTTGATGTACTTACCACTATAGGACAAAATCTACAAGTCCGTCAGAAGGTCACAGGCGTGTCATTGCTAGCCCTTTTTGTTATTAACTCCAGGTGCCAAACCTTAAATCCATTTGCTGATGTAAAGGGATGTAAATTATTTGGCATTGCCAGTGGTGCCATTGTGTCCTTTCATTTCATGGTGTTGAAATGCTGTCTCTCAGCTGAAGATGCTCATTAGGAACATTGCCTTTTGATGTTGGTCTGGGTGCCAAATGGCAGCCTCTCTGGCAGTTTCAATACATTAC